GTGTCGACCGAACACGCAGGTCGTGTGCACCGACGTGTCCGGTGGGTGATCGGACACGTCCGTCGCTACCTGACCGCCACATGTCCTATTCAAACAAAGTAGCCGTTGCTGCCACGAGTACCATGCTCAACTATGACCGGACGCGTCCGGTGTGGACGACTGGACGCAGGAGCCTCAGCGTCCGGTCGAGTCCAGAGAGCTCCTAGAGCCGCTCTAGGCCGACCGGACACGCCCGGTCACACCGGATCGGACGCAGGAGACGCAGCATCCGGTCGAGTCTAGAGAGCTCCCAGAGCCGCTCTGGGCCGACCGGACGCTCCTAGAGTCCGATCAAATATAGCGCTGAAGACCGAGATTTCTTGGTCGACCGGACACATCCGGTCGCTCTCTGCATCATGCTAAATCACATTGACCGGATGTTGAATAGTAACACGTCAGCGTCTGGTCACTCCACTGAGCCAGAGTCCGGTCATTAATACCGGACGTGTCCGGTCGCCATACCGAACGCGTCTTGTCACTCTGTGATCAGCGCGACTAACTCCTTTTCAACTCTATCTTCTTTATCCTTGCTCAAATGTGCCAACCACCAAGTGTATCACCTTATGCACATGTGTTAGCATATTTTCATAAATGTTTTCAAGACTGTTAGCACTCCACTGGATCCTAAATGCATATGGAATGAGTTAGAGCATCTAGTGACACTTTGATAACCATATTTCGATATGAGTTTCACCCCTCTTAATAGTATGGCTATCAAACCTAAATGTGATCACACTCGCTAAGTGTCTTGATCACCGAAATAAAATGGCTCCTACCGCTTATACCTTTGCCTTGAGCCTTTCATTTTTCTTTCTTCTTTTCAAGTCCAAGCACTTGATCATCACCATGGCATCACCATCATTATGTCATGATCTTCATTTGCTTCACCACTTGGAATGTGCTACATATCTCATGATCACTTTGATAAACTAGGTTAGCACTTAGGGTTCCATCAATTCACCAAAAACAAACTAGAGCTTTCACCGGTGCCACCAGGTACACTACATTACCTACGTGGCATTTTTTATTATCTATTTGTATTTTTTATCTTGTTTTGTTTTGGCAAATTAACTATTATATGGACTACGAATTAAATTTTTATTTACACTAGAGTTCATCTATACCTACAGTGTTTAATCTAGTGTAAGTGCTAAGTATTATTGGTGTAATTGCTAGGTCAACTATACTAAGTAAAAAAGTTTATTAGGCACATGTATTTGTCATAATTTGAATTGAGTGTACTTACTTTTTTTTTCTACAATCCTCATAATTTTTTTGCTTCTGCAATCCATAGAAAAGATCTATTTTTTGTATTTTTTTTCTTTGATATGTTTGGTTGGTTCACTGCCCTCAAAAAGTTTTTGTTTTTTGCATTCCATAGAATGTTTTTTATATTAACTTTTTTTTGGTTCATGCAATGCCCTTAGAATCCTGAATTTGATTTGTTTGTTTGATCAATGCTATATATTAGAGTTAATTGGTTTTTCCAATTCATAGAAATTTTTTGGGTTTTTGTCTTTTGTTTATTTGTTTGTTTTCCTTTCTTTGAATATTTGTATATTATTTTCATATTTAGCTATGTTGAATAATCACCTCTCTTTACCTAATTTCTGGAGATGTCCTTGCTCTTTTATGTCAATTCTGGCATAACTTTATCATCTTCAGTTTGAACTGTCATGGTAGCTTATGTTCTCTATCTAATTTATGTACCACCTTGCAATTAGGCATTGACTATCGTTACTCATGTACTCAAAGTTGGTGGAAAATTTATCGTGGAGATATTTTAAGGTAAAGATACAAGTCTCATGTACTGCCAGGTAACATTCACTTTGGTTGGCAAGTAGATCTTTGTATCATCAGATTTCATGAGGTTGTGCGCTTGTACAGTTCTCCATCATTAGTATGAAAGCTTCATTAGTTGTGGTTGATGAGTATGTTATCCAGATTATTCTTTCCACATTGTGCCCCTTAACTTTTGTAAATGTTTGGACGAGATGCTGATGGGCACTTTATTCCTATTTGTGGCTTTATGCAGCTAAAACTGTTCTTCTCACAAGTTACATTTGCAAAGCCAAAAAGTAGCCAGAACTCAAGCATTGGTAAGTCTTATAGCTTGCAAAAGAAGCTCCATACTTGTGCTCCTTATATGCTTTCTCAACCTTCAGTGGTTCGCATAACTTATGTTCAGAATTCTGAAATTGTTGTTAGTTGTTGAACATGTTTAGGACATCTTTGTCAGGCGGCCTATCCTCTATAGAGTAACAAGGATGCATATTCATTGTGTTGGAAAATGTGTATGTGGTCTTATACATTTGTTTGTCCTTTTTCATTTGTCAAACAGAGGTGTTTGCTGTTTGCGAGAACTATTCACCTCTAGAAGGGTTCAAGGAGGGAAGATCTATACCACCTCCTAGATAAAGTGGGGACTCCTTCAGGAGGTGACGATCTAGGTAAGGGCTACATATGCCGGTACAACACTCCTTCATATTTTTGTTTGTACTTTTAGGTAATGTAGTATTACTTTTGTATGCGAATTTCTCTATTGTTGTTAATATTGATTTTCAGTCATTTTGGTTTAATAGTGTTTGTCTCTGTATATTTTTCAGTTATACTGCTTGATTCAGATTTTGCTTTTTCTATTTTTTTGCTTGTTGAACATATATTTTCTACATCTAGTACTTGTTAGTACCGTTAGTCCTTGTCCTGTGTCATTCAGGTTTATTTGATTTTCTAGTTTTGATTTTTGTATTATCATATTAATATGGATTAATTTTTTAGTTACATTAGAGTTCATCTACACTTACAGTTGTTATTGATGTGTAATTCCTAGGTATTATTGATGTAACTAGTATTAGGTGCAAAAAGTTTATTACACCTTTCTTTGAATGTAACTCTTTTTGTATTATCATTGTTTTTCTTCTGGTATGCCGAGGCCAAGCTAGATGCAGAGGAGACAGAGATGGAGTCGTTTTGGTGCTGATTTTTTTTGGTCGTGAGTATTTCATTCAGTTTTTTTATTAGAAGTACATCCAGGTAGTATTTGTTCTGATTCTATTTTTTTGTTGTCATTTTCTTCTTCTTTTTATCTTGTGTTCTAGAGATGTTCAGGCGGAGGCTAAGATGGAGGTTTCATTTGTGTGATTTGTTCCCTCAAATTGCTTGAGTGATCAGAGAGGTTTCATTTGGCATGTGGTAGTTGGTCCTGCGGATTTAGTTGATCATCAGAAATGTTGTAAAAGGTGTTCTAGGTAACTTAGTTTGGTGGCCTAGTTAGTTGATTTTTACAATAATTGATAAAATGAATCTAGTTACAGCGCTATGTTATTAGATTTATAGTCATTTTTCATTGTAAGTAATTGTACTAAGTGGTGTAATTTGATGGTAATGCCTTATTGTCTTCTTTTTTTTATTCATCCTTAAATTTTGTTTTTTGTTATGGTATGTTTGTTTGCATCAATGCTATAGTATTTTTTTTGCAATTCATAGAAAATTTTTGCTTTTTGAATTTTTTTTAGTTTTGATCTGTTTGGTTCACCAAAGAAAGGTTTTTTGATTTTGCAATGCATAGAAATTTTTTGCTTTTTGATTTTTTAATTTGTATATTTTGATTTGTTTGGTCGTGTTCTTTGGATTTTTTTTTTCAGGTGTAGCATGAGATGAATTCTTTGGTTATATTTGAATCTCAGGTACTTCTAACTATTGGCTTCCTTGTTCAAGTTTACTTAGGTTTTAGTATCCTGTTACAATGGCTTAATTTTGTAGTTACAGTAGAGTTCAATTGCTGTCTGTTTTTTAGATGGAATGCATAATTCGTGTGATTTGATCTCCTGTTTCGCTCAATTTTTTGCTTTTGTTTAGATTTGTGTGATTTGTCAAATCACCTGAGTTGTTGCAGCCTGTTTGGTTGCCTAGTTTGTTTTGTTGCTGGTTCGTGAAAAAGTATTACTAGCTAATTTGTGTGAGAGAAAAATATTATTCTGACTAAAAATTTACAATCATTTATGACAGGCTACAGCCAAATGAACAGGCTTAGACAGATCCATTTCGTTTCGTTTCGTTTCGGAGCTGAAGTTTCCGTAGCGGGTACACGGCCAGCGTCTTATCTTCTCCGTGATCTGCGTTTGAGCCCTCCTAAGGCACTACACAAAAAAAGATTTCCCGTCATATTAAACTTGTGGTACATGCATGAAGTATTAAACATAGACGAAATCAAAAACTAATTGCACAGTTAGGTTGTACTTTGCGAGACGAACGTTTTGAGCATAATTAGTCAACGATTGAACAATTATTACCAAATACAAACGAAATGCCACAATAACATATAGTGAATCCGGCGACGCCGAATTCGACCAACTAAGGGCCTGTTTAGATCCATTCCAGTTTGGAAAATGGACACTGTAGCACTTTCGTTTGTATTTGGCAAAAATTATCCAACTATGGACTATTTAGGCTTAAAAGATTCGTCTCGCCAATTACAGGCAAACTGTGCAATTAGTTATTCTTTTTACCTACATTTAATGCTCCATGCATATGCCGCAAGATTCGATGTGACGAAAAATCTTAGGAAATTTTAGATTTTGGGTGGGATCTAAACAGAGCCTAAACCAGGCGCCTGAATTGAAGTGCCATGCCCATGCCAAGCAGCTAGCTGCTGCGTGGGTGCTTTTGTTGTTGCTGTCCCCGCTAATGAGCCTCTCCGTACGCTAGGCCAAAAAAGCACGCTAAACTCCACGTACCACCCACGTGCCGCGGCGACCACCCTCTGTGACCCCCGTCCCCGTCGCCCCATCGGCCCCTCCCTTCCCGACCCGATCTCCTCTCGCATCTCGCATCTCGGCCTGCCACCCCCACCGCAGCCCACTCCACTCCACCGCTACACTGAAACCAACCACCACGGCCACGGCACCACCCCTCCCTAAATCCGGAGCCCCAAAACCCCCGTACGCGCCCGCCGCGCCGCAATGGCGCGCCGCCACCGCGCCCCGCTGCTCCCCATCCTCCTCCTCCCGCTGCTGCTCGCCACCACCACGACCTCCGCGGTCACCGGCGCCGCATCGCACTCGCAGCCGACGCTGCCAGCGCCGCCGGTCCAAGCCACCGCCGCGGTGCCCCCGTCCGCGGCGCTGGCGTCGAAGCCGCCGCCGGTCTCGCCCTCGGCCGCGGCCCTCGCGGCGTTCCTCACCAAGGCCGACCCGGCCTCCCGTCTGGGTCTCCCCAACCGCGCCGCCTCCCCCTGCTCCCGCCCCGGGATCACCTGCACGGCCTCCGGCCAGATCATCCGCCTCGTGCTCGAGTCGGCGGGGCTCAACGGGACGTTCCCGCCGGGCACGCTCTCGCGCCTCGCCGAGCTCCGCGTGCTCAGCCTCAAGTCCAACGCGCTCCACGGGCCCGTCCCGGACCTCTCCCCGCTCGCCAACCTCAAGGCGCTCTTCCTCCCGGGGAACCGCTTCTCGGGGCCCTTCCCGCCCTCGCTCGCCTCCCTGCGCCGCCTCCGCTCCATCGACCTCTCCGGGAACAGGCTCTCCGGCGCGCTCCCGCCGGGCATCGAGGCCGCCTTCCCGCACCTCACGCTCCTCCGCCTCGACGCCAACCACTTCAGCGGCACCCTCCCGCCATGGAACCAGTCGTCGCTCAAGGTGCTCAACGTCTCCTACAACAACTTCTCGGGCCCCGTGCCGGTCACGCCCGTCATCACGCAGCTCGGCGCCGCCGCGTTCGCGGGCAACCCCGAGCTCTGCGGCGAGGTGGTCCGCCGCGAGTGCCGCGGCTCGCACCTCCTCTTCTTCCACGGAGGCGACGGCGCCAACGGCACCGCCGCTGCCCCTGTGCAGAGCGCTGCCGCTAGCGACAGCGGGCCGCAGCGAGAGAACTTGAGCATGCCGGATTCGTCCGCGCCAAATGCGAAGAGAGTGAGGCGGAGGAGGACCACGGTGGCAGTCGCGGTCGCCGCGGGGTCTGTCCTCGCCGCGCTTCTTGTCTGTGCCATGATTGCGATGAAGAGGAGCAACAAGCGGGGGCGCCCGAGCTCCGCGTCGTACGCGAGCCCCAACCCCAAGAAGAGCGCGCCCGCGTCCGAGGTGAGCAGGGACAATGCTGACATGGGCTACGTCGAGTGCGTGCCCGATGATGAGACGGCGGCCATTATGGTGCCGGAGGAGAAGGCGCGGCGCCTGGAGCGGAGTGGGTGCCTGACATTCTGCGCCGGCGAGGCGGCGAGCTACAGCCTCGAGCAGCTCATGCGCGCTTCGGCAGAGGTGCTCGGGCGCGGGAGCGTGGGGACGACGTACAAGGCGGTGCTCGACGGGCGGCTCGTTGTGATTGTCAAGAGGCTGGACGCCGCCAAGATTGGCCCAGCGGCACTGGAAGCAGAGGCGTTCGAGCAGAACATGGATGCCGTTGGTCGACTGCGCCATCCGAACCTTGTACCACTCCGAGCATTCTTCCAGGCTAAGGAGGAGCGGCTGCTTGTGTACGACTACCAGCCCAATGGCAGCCTCTACTCTCTCATCCATGGTAAAGTTCCGTGCTCTTTGCTCTGGATCTGAGTGGTTAATTTTGTAGTAGAGTAGTATCTGATCGGTCCTGGGAACAATTCTACTACCTGCCTTTACATCTAGTACTACCACTAGATTATTAGTGGTCTAGGCTGGCATTACCTTTCTAAAGTAGACATTCTTCATTCCAACATGACCACGAATTGAAATTCAGAAGACTTGGGTCACGTGAAAACCAGGCAACAGAATGTGGACGGCACTAGTGGGCCTAATATCTATATAAGGGGTGCTTTATTGGTTGATTGTTGGTAGCTTTTCTATTGGAAGTGAGAACCCATTAAACAAAGCATACATGCATTGTTAAGTGTCCCTAGTCACCTATAGCGTTCAACTGTTCATGTACACTAGACATTTATATAAATTCATGGAACGAAAACAAATTCATGGAACGAAAACAAAGCGCCTTGCTTGTTCTTGACGAAGTACCAGTTCAGGCTCGTGTTCTTCCAGAAGGGCAGCGCGTGCCTGAGCGCGGAGGAAGTTGGAGAGCAGCGCACACGGGAGGAGGAGGTTCAGTTCAGGGGCTGATCTGTTCAGGGCGCATATTTTTGAGGGGGTTCAATGCATAGTTTTCTGCCACATGGCAAGTATGGACCTACGGTGTATCAATCAACAAGTTTATGTACCCAGAAATGCATTTTCAAAGTTCAGGGACCTAAGTGACACCCCATGACAAGTTCAAAGGCCTCTCATGCATTTAACTCAAAAATAAATGTCCACAGGCTAGAATATGTCAAGATATCCATACTTTTTTAATACATTCATAGAATATTTAGGTCATAAATTGTATGAGTAGATTTTTTGTCAATTGTTCTCACCTTTTCAAACTAGATACTCTTCACCCAACATGGCTATGGAATGAAATTCAGAAGATGACAACATGAATATCTGGCAGCAAAATGTTGATGCCTAGTGAACCCATATATGTGATGCTTTATGATTTGACTGCTTGATATTTTTCTTTGTGAATCCACTAAATAAAACATACATGCGCTCATAACTCATAAGTGCACTGGTCCCATGTAGTAGTCATCTGACTAATGCTTTGTTCAGATTCATGAAAGGGGGAAACACAAGGTTGCGTGTGACATTTTACTGACTAGTTTTCATTGCCAAGAGTATAATGATGACATTGCTTATTCATTAGATGTTGGGATGATAAATCATTTAACAATATTAGAAAATAGCAGAGGTATGACTTATTTTCCGTCGGCCATGAAAAACATCATTTGAACCTCTACAGTGGACTGGCCATTGTAATTTTATGGTTCATGATTTCTCCTTTCTACTTTCCTTTGCTTGTGAACTATAAAAAAAATTGCGATCATACAAGTAAGGACTTAAACGCTGGGTTGCTGTTCTGAAGTACTATCTGAAATTTGCAACTAGGTCCACAAATAGTGTCATCTGTACTTATGGTTCTGGTTGTAGTTTCTTTGGTAACAGTGGTATGCTTATACTAATTCAGATGAATAATATTGGTGAGTGCTTAGGAACTTGTAGTAAACCAGTAGCAAGAGAAGGTTTATTCATTTCTTATGTTAATTTGGCTATGAGCATTGTTATGTAACGCAATGTCCTACTCCAGCTAAATAACACACTTGTTGCATAGCGAAGCTAAACAAAACTATTCACAAGTTAGAGAATATCAATATGTCAATACGCTTTTATGCATTCATAAAATATTTGTGTCATAAATTGTACGAATAGATGTTTTATCAATTATGCTTAATTGTTCCGTTAATGTTTGTGAACTTGCAGGTTCAAGGTCATCCCCGGCAAAACCACTTCACTGGACATCATGCCTGAAGATAGCAGAAGATGTTGCACAAGGTCTTGCTTACATTTGTCAAGCATCTCGGCTTGTCCACGGGAACATCAAGTCTTCAAATGTTCTGCTTGGTTCGGACTTTGAGGCCTGCCTTACGGACAACTGCTTGTCTTTCCTCCTGGAATCATCAGAAGTCAAAGATGCTGCTGCTTACAGAGCACCAGAAAACATGAAGTCCAACAGAATGCTAACTCCAAAGTCAGACATATATGCTTTTGGTGTCCTCCTCCTTGAGCTCCTTAGCGGAAAGCCACCACTTCAGCACTCAGTCTTGGTCGCAAGTAATCTTCAATCCTATGTCCAGTCAGCGAGAGATGATGAAGGAGTGGACAGTGACCGCATCACAATGATTGTCGACATAGCCGCTACTTGCGTTAGGTCCTCACCAGAAAGTCGGCCTGCCGCCTGGCAAGTACTTAAGATGATTCAAGAAGTGAAGGAAGCAGATGCAACTGGCGATAACGACAGTGATCTTACCAGCAACTCCTAGTTGCCTGTATGGGTCCATCTCAGGTGGATGGATCAAAGCAACAGCATCAATTGGATGCAGGTTCTTGCTGCATGGATGTAGACTGGATAATTCGAAGTGAAGGTGAACTCTAGGGTAGGACCGTAGGAGTACTGCAATAGATTAACGATCTCTATGTTTGGTGTGGTTTGAGCTACGGATGCTGTAACATATTATAGGATTTCTTATTGTCAGGAACTCAGCATGTTATGGTCTGGTTCTACTACCAGCAGTTCTAGCACCAGTCTGTTATGTGAAAGTTTATTACTAGGATTCATAGTATGATAGTAATCAAGCCACAAAAGCTGTGTGACGAGTGAAGATCTGGTTTTAAATCCTACTACCAGCAGGTATTGTGGGATTTTCATGGAATGACGCGTTGAGGATGGAATGGTGAAATAGACCATTTTTTTTTCTCTACTCTCAGACTAATCCCGTTCTTCAATGTGTCCAGTGGCCGAAACGCACCATGTTTGCAAGTGGTAGGAACGGGTGACCTACAGACCTCCAGTGCCATTATGTGTTGTCTCGCAGTTATTTTGAAGACTTTCAGAATCGTAGCTCAAATTTTGGTATTTTTATGAGTTGTTTACTTTTTTGCTGTTATTATGAGGAAGGAACCGGTTTTACTCCAAGCTCCGTAACAAATCTCAACATGTGACATGCGTAAGAAAACGTACAAGAACTATGGACTCGTACAATACAAAACGCATTCTTATAAAACTGTGGGTTACCAATTTATTATGCCTACTATAGCTGAAATTTAGCGTGACGTAAAATATGTTAATATTGGTTAATGGACAGCATGCACAGCTTTTCTCTGAAACTTGCCTCAAGGATATTTTGGCGCCAAGGCAGGTATTCCATGTGGTCGCTGGTTTTCTGTTGCAGCGTCGTCGTCGCTTGCTCGTTGCCATTGTCTTCTTTTTGTTCATCCAGACAGGTACGGTGTGACTGGCTGCTGAGTTGTTTCTGCTGGTTTTCCGTTCGATTCGTTCTCGCTAGACGCCTGGCTCGATCCTTCATCAAAGTGGCAATATAGCTATTTTGGTCCTTTAACTATTACCCGAGGCTCAATTTTATCCCTAAACTTTCAAAACAACCATTTAGATCCTCAAACTTTAGTTTTAGGCTCAATTTCATCCTATAACTATGAAGATATTCATTTAAGTCCTCAAATTTTATATTTTGGGCTCAATTTCATCCATAAACTATCGAAGTGCATTTAACTTTTATTTTCAACTCAATTTTGTCTATTCAAAAAGAAAATTTTATATTTTAGACACAATTTCATCCATAAACTATCAAAATTATAGATCTTTTATTGTTTTCAATATATCCATGTATTCTTAAAGAATAAGTAGTGTTCGATGCAAGAGTAATTGCTCCTACAAATATCATTTAGTCGGATATATATAAATGGTACCATTATAAGGTAACGCTAAAAATAACAGCTTGAAATTATTAATGGCCACGAAAGAGTTTTTGGATGAATAATATTTTTCTATCTCCAACCGCTGGTGGTTTTGGAGCTAACCAGGTGCAACAGTGCAGCATTCCATGTAGAACGTAGACAAAGTTGAGTTGAAAATAAAAGTTTAAAAAAAAATACACTTTTATAGTTTATAAATGAAATTGATCCCAAAATGCAAAGTTTGAGGACTAAAACGACCATCTTCATAATTTTAGGATGAAATTGAGTCTAAAAATAGAGTTTAAGGACTAAAACGACCGTTTTGAAAGTTCAAGAACGAAACTGAGCCTCGAGTAATAGTTGAAGACCAAAATAGCTATTCCTCCTAACTTTAATGCACGTAACATTTATTATGGGCTTTAAAATTTATTTGATTTTAATTAAATTAAAATAAGCCAAGCCTAATTAAAATCCAACACGGAACCAATGACATGTTTCGATACTAGACGCAAGGTTGCTGTGGAATTTCTCAGCCATTTCCGGCCGTGATAATGGTCGTCGGAGGCTGGCCAGCGCAGCATCGCGAAACGGCGTAGCAAAGCTTGGCTCCCGTAGTCCCGTTTACACACGAGACCTTTTGTCAAGTCAGAGTATACTAAAATAAGCTGGATTGATGTAACCCGGGTACAAGGACAGATTTGGGCTCCGTTCGTTGGTCTGTACTTTGACTGAAACTGGCTAAAAAACACTGTTCCGACTGAATTGTTGTGAGAGAAAAACACTGTTCCGGCTGAAAAAATAAGCCGAACAAGCCAAATTTAAGACAAGCGAACGAGGCCCTTCTTCTACACTGTAGTTAGGTGGCAAGATGCTTCAAGGCAGACTGCTGAAAAATCAAACGAAGGTGCTAACCGTATCAACTTCTTCACATGTGGCTGGAGATTATATCCTACAAGAGTTCAGTTTCGTCATATGACCAAAGGGCAGGTTCATAACATGGCTTCCCTTTGCTAATGCAAAACACAGAGAACGAGCCTTTTGAAGCAAATTGCAATTTCATATTGGGTCACCAAACCACTTCTTGTGACCGAGGGCCAGTTTAGATGCCAAATTTTTTGGCAAAACGCTACTGTGACGTTTTTGTTGTTATTTGACAATTAGTGTCTAATCATAGTCTAATTAGGCTTAAAAGATTCGTCTCTTGGATTTCGTCTAAACTATATAATTAGTTTTATTTTTTATTTATATTTAATGCTTCATGCATGCGTCTAAAAATTCGATTTGACATGAAATCTTGAAAAATTTGGCATTTTGAGGTGCAACTAAACAGGGCCCGAGTCTCTGCTCTGATTGGAGCAACACGGTCCCATCCTATTAGAAAAAAAAAGCAAGAATGAGATCGAGACCATTATATAAACACATATTAGCTTAGTTCTTCCCCCAATGGGGACCTGCATCATACCGTAGGACAAAAAGGCAGAGGCAGAAAACACACAGAGATGGCTCGAGTGTTACCGTGGCTAATCGTTGCAGCCGCCACCCTGCTGTTAGCATCCATCAAGAGCAGCACAGCGTTGAAGATGGCAAGGCCTGGCTGCAGAGAAACATGCGGTAACCTCACCATTCCCTACCCCTTCGGCATCGGTCCTGGGTGCTATTACACACAAGGGTTCGAGGTTTCCTGCGAGGATAACCGCACTTTCATGCCTAATTCGAGCAGCCGAATACAGGTGTACAACATCAGCCTGCTAGGTGGGCAGCTTCAAGTCAGCACATTGATTGCCTCCAAGTGCAACTACACCAACGGCGAGAGCACAGATGGATGGGTCTCGGTAATCACTTCTCCATTTTTCATATTATCCAGCAAGGCCAACAAGCTAACGGCCATTGGATGCAACACTGTTGCATTCTTGGGAGGCTACAATAAGCACAGGGCTCAAACCGGGTGTGTATCTCTGTGCCTGGACAAGCGGAGCGTGAACTTCAGTGGCCAGTGCTCTGGCATGGGCTGTTGCCAGACAGCCATTGCACCAAACCTTGGTTCGTTAAACATAACCTTCGATAAGAGCTTCAATAATTATGTGGTAAATGACTTTAACCCATGCAGTTATGCCTTCGTAGCGGAGCAGGATTGGTTCAGGTTTGAGGCTTCTTACCTCCAGGATAAAAAGTTAACAGAGAAGAACAAGGATGGAGTTCCTTCTGTGTTTGACTGGGTTGCTGGAAATCAACCCTGTGATGAAGCGGTCAAGAACATATCATCATATGCCTGCATCAGCAGGAACAGCCAGTGTTTCAACTCACCAAATGCTACTGGGTACCTCTGTAGTTGCAGCGATGGCTTTGAAGGGAACCCCTACCTGGCGGATGGGTGCCAAGGTCCGCAACTCTGCAGAATTCACTTCTTTACATTACACCTCAAGTTACCTGTTCACTGATCTTCAGTTATTGTGTACTCGTGTTTGGTGTTTGTAGATATCAACGAATGCCAACATCGACTTCAGTATCTGTGCTACGGAATTTGCAGTAACACAGTTGGGGGTTACAGTTGCTCCTGTGCAACTGGGACTCGGAGCAAAGATCCAAAGACTTCAGTCTGCAGTCCAGATGCAGCATCAGAAAGGGCTAAACTAACAAAATTACTTATAGGTAATTACTTATACTCGAAGAATTTCAGTACAGTTATCAGAATGGCATGGATAAGTCACTCTGATGCAGCGGATATATCCAGGCATTAGTGACATGAAATCAGTTAGCCCTGATTCCCTGAATAGACTCCTAGCTAGTAATACTACTTGCTAGAAGCTTTATGCAGTTACGCTCATTTGAGTTTTGACAACTTACACTTAGGTAGTAGCGAAATACAAATGCGTTGACAGAATATTGTTAACATTCTTTCAAATTTTCAATAGTCAAGCCAACGGTACAAAAGATGGCCCAAGTGAGTATCACTTCACATAAAAAATCCACATAAGGAAGCCACTCAATAAATAACATAAAGGTCTTGCTTTGGTGCTCTGATTATCTAGAAAGTAATTGCTCAAATAAATCATAGCGGTTGAATTTTAAAATTTATAAAACAATTAATAAAAAGGCAGAAAATAAAAACAATTCCTAGAAAATGAATCCCAAAATTACGGCCGTGACACCACACTTTATTTAGGCCATGTTTGATCATATGGTCTAAAATTTAGCCACTAAACTTTAGCTCTTAAAGTTCCAAGCAAGTGGTTTAAAGTGTTGCTTAGCCAACCTCACGAAAAGACAATTATAAACATACTCTCTAAATCATCATTATGAGAGCTATTTGAATAAAAATTAATCTCTATATCTTGTGAGCACTCTAGAGAGCCAGCCCCGCTTGCCATTTTGACTAGCGAGAAATCTGGAATGGGTGATGACAATATTTAAAGATCTAATTAAAAATATTAAAGATTTCTATAAATTAGAAAGGATAATAAGAGATTCTTGGAGTTGCTCTTAGTTCATTAGATCATACAAGTGTCCTAAGTGATCTAAAATTTTAGTAGCCAACTAAATTTGAGACCATGAGATCACTGGCAGACCC